CGTTTCCTTTTGCCTGTTATAAACAAATGCACAAAGACATAATACCCTGACCACCTTGTGGTGTAGGATATAAATATGTTAACAAAAGAAATATGTTCGGCAATAATTCAAATCAGAGATATGGAGGTGGTTTTGAAAATGTGTACTATAATTGTACCAAAAGTACCAAATTGTTTTATTGAGTGAAGGGATAGAGGTGGAACCTTCCCAAGCATACTTCAATTGAAAACAAGCGGTTACGTGAAATTTCCTATATTGCAACTTATCCTTTGGATCTGCGAATATACTCTATGCTCTTTAAAATTCCTCCCATGAAAAAATTGCTATGTGCTTCCAACTCGAAACAACTATTAATATTGGTCATGGGAACAATGCTGCTGAACAGAGGCATCTCGGAAAAATTGGAACAAAAATTTCTCAACACAGTTTTCAATTTATCGATGAATGCATATTGGCTTGGCAGTGTTGGAGGTAATTTATACTCAGCTGTGATGTGAGAGGAATTCGTTTTTTGTCTCACTTTGTTTCACAAAAAATATGTTAACAAACGAAATATGTTCGCAACAATTGGAATCAGATCAATTGCCTCCGCAATCATTGCCTAAGGTATTTTAAATAGAATTGAATGTATATTTAAAGAATGGATTTTGTTGGGCGGTATTGGCGAAAAATGTCAATTGTTTCGGAAAAGTTCAGTTCCTTTCGGCTGGTTTGAAATGAAAAGAAGAGGCTATATCCATTTCAGAGCATTTGGCGTCGACTTAGCCATATCGTCTGTGCGTCTGTCTTGACGGTTAATGTGCATTATAAATTTTAAAGGAAATGTCTAATTTCATCCAAATTTGGTGGATCGTAATATTTATCAAAATCAGATCGAGTTCAAAGATTGACGAAATCGGCCCACTACTGTTTAATATAACTAACCAGCAAAGAAAGGCGCAAAGTCGGGTGTGCCGATTTTTGATACCCAACACAAATTTTGTAAGGAATTTATGTAAAGAAAATACGATCGAAAGGATGTAATATACATGAAAGTACCTCTTAATCAGTCCTTTTCATCGATTTCTACTAAAATTTGACGGACTGAAATTCATCAAAATTCATATTTTTTGAGCTGATATTTCACTTTATATTCACAATAAACGAGAAATCGAATAGAGATATATATGGGAGCTAGGAATTAGGTATTTCCACGCTGTCTCTGATAACGGGAACCAAATATGGTTGTTGTGGAGAGAATTTGACGTGTGTGAGGAATTTAAATACAAAATCGGATGAAACATATATATGGGACCAAAAGTTATATCTGGACCGATTTTCATCAAATTTGACACATTTTCTTCCGATCTCGATAAAATTTGGCAAAAGTATTTCTGAGATGTATTTTATATATATTCCCGAATGTCGTTACCACGAAGTGCATATTACGGCTGTGAAGGACCAATTCAACAAATTGGATGGACAGTATATATAGGAGCTATAGCTACATTTGAACCGATTCCCACCAAATTTGAACACTTATTTCCAATTTTTATCCTATTTGGACTAAGAACCAAATGTGTGGTTCGACCTTGGACTAAACAAATGTTTTATGCTACATTTTATTTTGATCGGGCAATAAATGCGACCTGTACTTTGTTTACAAAAATACATGGATAAATCGACTCAGAATGTGATTCTATGCAGATCATCATGGGAAATATGTGCCTAACTCGATTCTTTCTCTATGTTACAAACAAGTGCATAAATACATAATACCCTGACCACAGTGTAGTGTGGGGTATAAAAATGTTCAATGTTTATATAGAGATGTTCGTCCGTCTCGCTAGTGTTGGCAATTTCGAAAGGAGTATCAGATTTCATTCAAACTTTGTATGCACTTTTATAGTATTAATAACAAACTTAGATCGGGTTCGGAAATGGGCAATATCGGTCTAATCCCCCCTGCTTTTTTGGCAGTAGTCGGCACCACTTGCTAATTGTCGGTATGGCATGCTCCAACAGTCGGCATACCAATTTTTTTGTAAGATTAATTAATAATAATAATAAATTAATTCATTAAAATATAATATTTTTGTTTAGTTAAACTGATTCGACGTCTTTATTGTACTTTTCTTAAGAATATGGATTGTTGAGGACCTTCACAGACAAAAAATTTAATTTTTATTAGAATAAATCATCTTTTCTTAGCGAAATTGTACACAAAGATAGCTGACAATATATGTGAAGTAAACAAAATACATTTAGTTATAATAGTTTCATTTATTTGGGCTTAAAAATAAAAAGTGCCGACTACTGGGACATGCCGAACTTAGGCACACTTATCCTATATGATGTGAAAATGGTAGATGTTTGTTCACTTCTTCTGCTGTCAGGGGTCAACATTTTGAGTAATTATAACCTCCATTACATACGAAACAAGTCAGCGCTTTTTTTCAAACTTCGTGTAGCTCCATATTTTTGTCAACCATTAGATATGTAAATATGGGATATATAGGTCCAATCCTTAAACACGCAGACGGCTGAAGCTATAATCTTTAAATTTTGGGTGAGGGTCACTCTTTGTCCGAGAGGGGTCATATAAGGGTCGGTTGTTGGAAAGTGGTACTACTAAATGTGATACCCGTTGTATTTTAGCAAGCAGTAGACCTAGAAGTCTTAAATTTGGCACAAGGGATACTAATGGAGTGCATGAAAGATGTACCATTTCGGAAAATTTGGAAATTCGCACTATAAGTGTACGAAAAGTACTAACATGTATAACATTTGATGCCATATCGTATCATGTGAACGGTTAGAGCTAAAAAAAACTTGAAATTTGGAATGAGAATCAAAGGTACAGTCGATGTTAGAAGGTAGTTTTGTATGTGTGTACTCATGTATACAAAAAGTACTAAACGTTACTAAATTTAGTACAATTTGAATCTTGGAATCCTGAAAATTGAAATTAATATTGCTGGCGGAGACTAGGATTGGGATATAAAGAAAGTTTTCGAAATTTGTATTTATGTGCACGAAAAGTACTAAATGGTACTCAATTTGGTACAATTTTGATTTGGGTGAACCGATAGAGCTGTAATTTGGAGATTTGGAAATAAGATAACTATTGCATTGTAGGACTAAGGTATGTAGGAAGTTTTGAAAACTCGTACTTATGTGTACAAAATGTTACCACATGTGGATCAAATTTAAATTTGGGCCTTATTGGTAGATTTCCTGAATATTTCTACTTAGATGTTCCAAGTGGTACTAAATTTGGTACAATTTGTATTTGGATGAACCAAATGAGTTATAATTCTGAAAATTGTAAAAAAGATTGCAGCCGGAGTGTAGGATTGGGATATTTAGGTAGTTTTGGAAATTTGTACTTATATGTACTAAAATGTACCTTATATATTACAATTTGCATTTGGGCGAATCAACAGGGGTGGAATCCTAAAATTTGGAATTGGGATTACTGTGAGAGTGTTGGATTAAGGTATGTAGAAAGCTTTGGAAATTCTTACTTATGTGTATTACATGGTACTAAATTTGGTACAAATTGGAATTGTGTGAATGAACCGATGGAACCGATGGAGTACTAAATAGTACCATATTTGGTGAAATTCGGTAAAGGGCAAGCCAATAGTGCTTGAAATCTGAGATTTTGAAATTTTTTGAGGTCGCTGTCATTAGCAACCTGGACCTTTGGAAATGTTTACTATAATTGTACGAAGAGTTCTGAATGGTACTATATTAGGTATGGAGTGAAGGGATAGAGATACAATTCTGAAATTTGATATTAAGATTACTGATGGTATTTGAGATTTGGCTTGAAAATGCATCCTATATTTGTACGGAAAGTACTAAATGGTACTAAATTAGGTATTGGGTGAAGGGAGAGGTCTGGGATCCTCAAATTTGATATTAAGGTCGGAGTTGGTATCTGACATTGACTTATAGAAGTGGTTTTATAAATCTGCACGAAAATACTAAATATTATTTAATTTGGTATTGAATAAAGTAATAGAGCTGAAATCCCGAAATTACATATGGGTGTCACTGTTGGCGTCGTATATTTGTATGGAAAGTATTAAATGGTATTAAACTTTGTATTGGGTGAAGAGATAGAACTGAAATTCTTAACTTTGATATTGATGTCTCTGTTGGTATCTGATGGTGATGGTTTTGGAAATGTGTACTTTAACTGCACGAAAAGTACTGAGTGGTGTTATATTTGGTTTTGAGGGAATTTTTAGAACTGAGATCCCGAAATTGGATATTAAGATGTCCCTCTTGGTATCTGGTGTTGAGATATGGATGTGGTTTTGGAAATTTGTACTAAAGTTGTACTAAATGGTACTGAATTTGGCAACAGCGGAAATTGCAGAGCTGAAATCCTAAAATTTGATATTAAGTTCACTGTCGGTGTTTGAGGTTTGCGGTTAATTGTAGGATTGGTATTAGTTTATAGGGATAGGTTTGGAATCCTCATATTGGATATTGAGGTCTTTGTTGGTATGTGGGATTGAAATAAGGAATCAGTGTTGGAAATGTTTATTATAATTATACAAAATTTGGTATTGAGTGAATTGAATGTAATCTTTAAAGCGGGCACTTGTTGGTAGTACTTAAAAAAGTGCTGTTTTGAAAAAAGGTATTGAGAATTTGAGAACTTTATCATAGTTAGAAAAACCCACATTTTCATTTCAGCACTTAGTACTTTTTACAATATATCCTAATCACAGTACGATTTTAAAAATCACACTTTTCAGTACATTTTAGTAGTGACACATTGATAATGATGTCACAATTCAGATATTAATGTTCATCTTGATGCTTATCTTATCTAATATTTAAAGAGTTTCCGTTTACAATTTCTAAATCTCCAACCTCCAGTGTATTATCCTTGTAAGTCCTTAACACTTACTCAAGTAACACTGCCAATTACACGTTTATACTCTCACCGGGCATGTCGTAAATCGAATAACAATATTGCATAAACATGTTTACACACTTACATCAAATCCTTGGATCGAATGATAGGAACGATTAAAGATGCGGCTCATCACCTGGCGCCCATCGTAAATATCGCCGCCCATCTGGAGGACATCCGTCAAAGCTCTGGCATATATCTGCACACTGTCGTATAAATGCAGAGCATAAATGGGTACCTGTTGGTGTATTTATGTACGAGGTGGGTGAGTCGGTTAGTGGGTTGGTTGGGGTGGGTGCATTGTTGTTAGGATGTGAGTGAGTCAGTGTGTGTGTGTGTGCGTGTGAGCATGTGTGGATGAAAAACAATGTTAGGGATATTCGGGAGGATTTCTTTGTTGTTGTTATATTTATTTATTTATTTTTTTTTTTGCTACAGGTAATACGACTTACCGAAATATTGTCAAAGACACGTTCATGGTAGGGTACTAAAAACGGATGTTTACGTGAATATTCCTTGATTTTCGTACATTTTTCACTGGAACACAAATAGATTGGAAATATAAAAAAAGGAATTAAATGTTATTGTTTTCAAATGTGAATTGTTGTGCAAATACATGCATGTAAAGAAGGCACATATGTGTCAGTATCGTATTCAGGGCAAAAAAAAAAACCTTAAGGTATAAAATTTCTTGGTTTAAGTCAAGCAAAATATTTTTGGATATTTCTAGTTAATCCTTAGCTTATTAAATATGTATATAAATATATATATATATATATATATATATATATATATATATATATATATATATATATATATATATATATATATATAATGTTACACTAAATGTTACACTCCTGGTTTTTTTGAACCCCTAAATGTTTCTTGAGAATCGGACGATAATTGCCACTTGAATATAATACTCCCAAAACATAGCGTTGTAAAGTGAAAAAATATTACCAAAATGAAATTCAATATTGTAAGTCAAATGAGAAAAAAATTCAAAAAAAAAATGTCAAAATCTGTCCAGCCGATTTTGTGTTAAAATGGGTCTTGGATATGAGCATCAATGTAACGGTTAGAAGTGACATTTTCGTACATTTGTGATTTCGCCAGTATAAAAATATTCGCGGTTTAGTGGAAATTATCGTATTTTTACATAAAAGTTATGGGCTATTTTACCCGCTGACTCAGCTCGGCGAGATATGAAGATCCATATATAGTTTCTTAAGTCGGAGACCAATATTTCGAGGTGTTACATATATTTTGGCCCAATCAATCCTATAATACCCCAAACCTATAGTGTTGTAGGTTATAAATATTTATTTGAGCAATAGATATACCGGGCCTAGTTTCACTAAATGGAAAAATTCGGTTCGGAAATAATCTAAAGAATTTGGGCTGATATTCCATATGTGGTGGACAATAATCGTAAAATCGGATGAAGATACATATCAAACCCCAAATTGAATAAAACATATATATGGGAGCTATATCTATGTCTGAACCGATTTTCATAAAATTTGATGTAATTGCTTCTGGACTGAAATTCATAGGAAGTGCCAAAATGCAGTCCATTTAAGCTGATATTAGCCGTTTGAGGCACAATAAACCTGATATCGGATAAAGATATATATGGGAGCTATATCCAAATTTGAACCGATCTTCACAAAATTGTAGGCACTTATTTCTGAGCTGTATCTGATATCTGGCACCAAAGATTATTGTTGTGGAGTGCATGTTACGCCAAATCGGATGAAATATTCACCAAATTTGAAGTACTTGTTTCTGGGATGAATTCAGTCGGAATTGCCAAGATCCAGTTCAGTTGGTCTGATATCTGGTACGAAATATTATTCTTGTGGAGTGCATATTACGTATGTGAGGGACTTAAAACCTCAAATCGGATGGAACATATATATATATAATGGAGCTATACCTATATCTGAACTGGTTTTCATCAAATTTGATGTACTTGCTTCTGGACTGAAATTAGTCAGAAGTGCCAAAATTCACTCCATTTAGGCTAAAATTAGTCATTTGGTGCACAATTAACCCGAAATCGAAGAAGAGGTATATAGGAGCTATATACAATTCTGAACCGATCGTAACAAAATTTTAAGGACTTATTTCTGAGCTGTGTTTGATATGTGGTACCAAATATCGTTGCTGTGGAGTGCATATTACGGATGTGAGGGACTCACAACCCAAAATCGGATATATATGGCACCTATGGCTATAACTGAACCGATTTTCACTATATTTAATGTACTGCACTAAATTTCGGCTGGGTGTGCCAAAATTCAGGTCATATGAATTCATATTGGCCATTTTGTGAGGGACTCACAACCCGAAATCGGATGAAGAAAATATATGTATATGCGACCTATGGCTATAACTGGACCGATTTTCACTGTATTTAATGTACTGCACTAAATTTCGGCTGGGTGTGCCAAAATTCAGGTCATATGAATTGATATTGGCCATTTTGTGCACAAATAAACCGAAATCGGTTAAAGATATATATGGAAGCTATATCTAAATTTGTACCGATTCTCACCTATTTCAATTAGGTCATGTGTTAATAGAAATATTCGAAAGTGTAAATTTGAAAAGAATCGCATGCTCATTATGCAATTTATGAGCGTCATGGTTATTAAAAATTGTGACCCGTTGTCGGGCAGGTATTAGAAGGAGTGGTCCGATCTATCTCATCTTCATACAAGATCTTCAGTTGGTTGAAAAATTGGGATATGCGAAATATGAAGATAATCGTACTCATCATTTACATTACATAAGTATTGCGATTATTAAAAAAATCGACCCGTTGTGGGAAGCTCACTTGACTTAGCACTGATAAAAATATTAGGATTTGCAAAATTTCAGCAACATTGGATAATTTTTATACCCTCCACCATACTATGGAGGGTATATTAATTTTGTCATTCCGTTTGTAACTCCTCGAAATATTCATGTCAGACCCAACAAAGTATATATATTCTTGATCAGCGTAAAATTCTAAGACGATTTAGCCATGTCCGTCTGTCTGTCTGTCTGTTGTAATCACGCTATCTTTCGAACAAGTTGAGATAGAAGGCTAAAATTTTGCACACATGGAATTATTTCAAATTTGGCATTTGAAGTTTGCAATTGATGCTACAAAGAATGAGCCATGTAGGTCCACGTCTTCATATAGCCCCCATATAACGGTACCCCCCGATATTCGGTATTTTAATGATTTTAGCGACGTTATTTACAGGGATTGTTTCAAATTTCGTATGTGAAGTTCGTAATGGATACTTCAGCCCATGCCAGAAAATTGTCTGTGCAGGTCCACGTCTTCGTATAGCCCCCATATAACGGTACCCCCCATATTCGGTATTTTGACGATTTTAGCTACATTATAAACAGATTTTTCTTCAAGTTTCGCATTTAAATATTGTAATAATTTATGACAAGAGTTGCCTATGCAGGCCCACGTCGTCTAAGCATTCGGTATTTTTAAGATTTTAACAGAATTTTTAACGGGTTTTATTTTTTGGAAATTGCCAAATTTGTACCAAATGGAGGAGGGTATTAAAAGTTCGGCCCGGCCGAACTTACAGCTTTTTTACTTGTTTCTTATTCAATGGGGTAATTTATTTTATATGAAAATGTTGACCTTTTGAGGGTTAGGTATCAGAAGGAGTGGACCGGTGTCGCACATCTCCGATATTGATCTAAGTTTGATAATAATATTACCTAGGGTATAAACCATTATTTCCATGAGCCACGCTTTTGCCGTATCAAATTATCTTTACCCACTATGGCTGAGGGTATAATTACTGACTAATTCATCAACGCCCAGGCGAAGACAGATGAAGCTAGAATCTTAGGGGTGAGATAAGGCTGGATTTTTGGATATTCGTACAATAAATGTACCTGAATTCAATGTATTGGGCAAACTGTACTAAATGGCACTACATTCGGTACAATTTGGTTGTACGGATTGATCTGGAAATTTTTAAGGTTGAGATTTGGAGGTGGATTTGGAAATACGTACTTAGGCATTTTCATATTTTCTCTGAAGAATAAAAGAACTTGAAAATCTGAAAGTTTAGTACGATGTATGAAGTTTTGACTAGAAATTTTTTGCCAAACAGACCAAATACAGCATTTTATGTACTAACAAGTGAAAAAGCCGTAAATTCATCTGGGTCGAACACCATTTCGAAGGTATTTGCAATTAAAAAAAACATTGAAAAATACTGCTGAAATCATAAAAATACCGAATACGAAGGCGCAGATTTCTGTCATAGACTGTAGTACCCTTACGAACTTGAAATACGAATATAGGGAGATACCGTTATATGGAGGCTATACCAAAACGTGTACCCATATAGCCCATTTTCAATACCAAAAGTCCTGCACAACAAACACATGTCTGAGTAAAATTATATAAAACTACTTCAATTCGTTCGGAAGCTAGAGTGATTTCCACAGGCGGACGGACATCGCTACATCGACATAGAATCTTATGCTGATCAAGAATATATATACTTTGTGGGTCTAAAATGTATATTTCGAAGTATTACAGACGAAAAGACAATCTTAATATACCCTTCATACTACGGTGGAGCCATGTACTTTAGGTCTGCAGGAGTTTTGGTATTAAAAGTGGGTCAGGTTTTGATATAGCCCCTATATAACTGCATCGGCTGATTTGAGGTGTTTTGGTTGTTTAAGTCAGAAATTTAAACCGAATTTGCTATTTTGTGTTCCCAGTATGTGGGAAACATGATTGAAAAGAAACAAGTTTTTTGTACTTTCCTATATCCGGTATTTTCACTATTTTAACCTCCGGAATTAATTTAAACTTAGAATTTGGATTTCGCAATGTGTACTTCTTCTTATGACAGAATAAATTCACTTCTTTGTACAGGGTCCGATAAATAACTCTTCTTTGAAGGTGCTATAAAATTAACTACTGAACATTTATGTTATTTTTTTTTAATTTGAAAGTACAATTCTTCCGGTTAATATTGAAAAAATTTAATTCAAATGGCTGCCTCCGCTGGCCATGCAGTATTTATCGTATTTTTAAGCACATTATTGGTTGTGTACGGCTGTATTTAACCAATGGTTTCACGAATATTGTCCTTTATAATGCATATTATATTATCCTTATGCAAAAGTTTCTAGAATAAATATTCTCGAAATATTATGTTTCCAAAGAAAATTGCATGTTGGGCGCCACTTAGACGAATTTTCATGGAACACGTCAGTTGCTGAAATTTTTTATGGGTTTTAAAGGGTTCAGGTTTTCTTATGTCTCTATCCTTTTTGTATATGTAGTCAAACAAAACGTGTAGACGACATAAACAAAATCCGGTGTTAGTGGAAACCCGAACAATTGGCGCCCAACAGTGGACTTGGAGTTGAAAAATAAGAAATGCAAATCATTGAATTCTATTATCAAAATGGGTGATCTGTTAAGAAAGTTATTCCATTCAACGAAGAAACTAATTTTTGGGTAATTGGGTACGTAAATAAGCAGATTTGTCGATTTTGGTGTAGTAAACATTGTAAAATCTGCCAAGGTATTCAGAAAAAAGGCAGCGGTTAATGGACTGGTGGCATTTTTGGGCCGAACTTTTTCAAAGATGCTGCTAACCGTAACGTAAATGCGAATGGAGAGCGCTATCGTGAGATAATATCCAACTTTTTTTGCTCAAAATGTAAGAGCTTGACAACAGGACGGTGTCACATGCCACACAGCACACCTTACAATTGACTTATTAAGAGGCGAGTTCGTTAAACCTTTTAAACTTTTTGGTAAAGCCACCGTATAACGGAACCCCCTCATTTTAAGCATTTCGACGGTTTTTTGCACTGTTTTCAATGGAATTGTCTGAAATTTTGTATTTATAACGTACCACTCTACATTCGGTATTATGATGGAATCCCCTAATTTTGTTATATGAATTGTCTGAAATTTTGAATTTAAAGATTCTAATTTGTATCTAACTGCTTACAAAAAATCGTTGATGTAGATCCTCACTATGTGTCTTGGAGGGTACACTTATACTTTGGGTGCCATTTTTCAAGTAAATTACAAGTTGGGCGCTACTTAGCTTCATGGTCATGACACTCGTCATAAAAAAAATTTAGCGGCATTTTTATGACAATTCTTGCTGAATTTTTCCTTGAAATCTTTTTTTGAGTCAATTTCTTGGCGCCCAACGTGGGCCCTGCGTTAGAGTATTAATTTCCATGGAACTGCTCTATTTTTAGTTTCGTTTTCCAAATAAATTGACCCAGTGCGGTATTGGTGCTTTCAACTTATACATCAGCTGTTGTTTTGGTATAGCCCCCCGATTCTGCCCGATTGAAGGTATTCGATACATATTGACCATATTGGCTTTCAGAATTGTTAGCAATTAAAAATGCCTTAAATAAAATTAAAACGGGTACATAAGGGCATATTTTTCAATGGATTCATTTCCTGAAGGTTTCGACCTGGCTGAACTGAATGTACTTTTTACTTGTTTTCTTTTCATGATACTCACATAATTATTGGAATATCATTATTCTTCATCATTGTTAGCATGAATATCCTATACTATAATATCCTCCTTATATCATTTTAGAGGATGACCTTAAAGCTATTGATTATCTACCTTTCCTATTAAGGGCGTTGTGTAAATATTGTACACGTTTATGTGAGAGTGTATGTGTAAATCTCTTGCAAAACAGCAATATCTTTTGTCACACACTTACCGTATGTCGGGATTTTGTGGATATGACATGCTAATTTTTATCACCGAACGAAAGGAGTTCTTGTCCAAGGACTTGCTTTTCTCTTTCTTGATGTAAGGATCCAAGTAGTCTGCAATAAAGAACAAGATTATGGAAATTGTTGTTTATTTTTAAAATCACACCTCAAAACCAGAAAAATGGGGTGACACTCAGAGACAGTTGCTGTCATCAATCATTCAATCAATTCCTTTAATAAACACAAACAAACTCACACCCTTCGGTTCAATACGTCATTATACATATAAAAGCGACAGGTTACTTACTACGTTCCATGATGTTGACACGCCGTTTCGAATCATAGATTTCATCGTCAACCGATATAATGATATAGTCGCCATCCTCCAGGAGTTTGCGATTCTGCATACAGCGCACAAAATCCACCATGGCTATGTGTTCGCCAATGAAAACATAAACTGGAAACAAAGAAGAAACGATGAACATTAAAATCAAAATGAAATTTAAATCCGGGCCTGACATGTAACAGAAAAAGAACAAATGGCAGACAGACAGAAGAATAAACCAGTAAGGAAAGCTGAAAAGTCGGGCGGGGCCGACTATATGATACCCTACACCACTATGCATATTTAGTTGAGCTCTCGTAAAAAGGTTTATACAGGGCATTTCAGAGCTCTATGAGATATTTGGTACAAAATCAAAATCTATCTAATCCTATCGTGCATTTTACGAACTATAGCTATCTCTGAACCGGGTTTCTCCAAATTTGACGTATTAGCTTCTAGACTGAATTCGGTCTTATGTACGAAAATTCAGGTGATTTGGGCTGATATTGGCCATTTGTTGCACAATTAACACGAAATCGGATGAAGATACATATGGGTGCTATATCCAAATCTGAACAGATTTTGATAAAATTAAAATCGACTACTTTTGGGCTTTATCTGATATCTGGGCTTTATCTGGAATGTGAGGGACTTAGAGACGAAATTGGATGAAACATATATATGGGAGCTATAGCTATATCTGCACCGATTTTTACTAAAATTGGTGTACTTGCTTCTAAGCTGGTTTCGGTCGGATTTGCCAAAATTGCTTGATGCTATTACGGCCATTTGGTGGTCAATCACCCGAAATCGGATGAAGATATATATGGGAGCTATATTCAAATCTGAACCGATTTCGATAAAATTTACAACAGCTATTCCTGTGCTCCATCTAATACCTGGTGCCAAATATCACGGTTGTGGAGTGAATATTACGAATGTAAGGGACTAAAACACTACATCGGATGAAACATATATATGGTTGCTATATCTATATCTGAACCGATTTTCACTAAATTTGATATACTTGCTTCTAGGCTGAATTTGGTCCGATGTACTAAAATTCAGTCCATTTTGACTTTTATCGGTCATTTGGTCCACAATTAACCCGTAATCGGATGAAGATATATATGGGAGCTATATCCAAATCTGAACCGATTTCGATAAAATTACAAACAGCTATTTCTGGGCTGTATCTTATATCTGGTACCAAATATCATTCTTGTGGAGTGCATATTACGAATGTGAGAGACTTAAACACCAAATCGGATAAAACATATATATGGGAGCTATAGCTGTTTCTGAACCGATTTTCTTCAAATTTGTTGTATTTGCTTTAAGGCTAATCTCGGTCACATGTGCCAAAATTCGGGCCATTTGGGCTGATATTGGCCATTTGGTGCTCAATTAACGCGAAATCGGATGAAGATATTTATGGAAGCTATATCCAAATCTGAACCGATTTCGATAAAATTTAAAACAGCTATTTCTGTGCTCCATCTAATACCTGGTACCAAATATCACGGTTGTGGAGTGCATAGTAGGAATGTGAGGGACTTAAAGATCAAATCGGATGAAAGATATATATGGGAGCTATAGCTATATCTGAACCGATTTTCTCCAAATTTGATATACTTGCTTCTAGGCCGAACTTGGTTGGGTGTGCCAAAATTCAGTTAATTTGGACTGATAGTGGACATTTGGTGCACATTTAACCCGAAATCGGATGAAGATATATATGGGAGCTATATCTAAATTTGATCCGATTCTCACCAATTTCAATAGGGTTCGTCCTTGGGCCAAAAAAATATTGTTTGGAAAATTTCATCTCTCAAAAGTAACTATGGGTCTATCTCGTTTCCTTCTCCATGTTACAAACAAATGCACAAAGACATAATACCCTTACCACTATGTGGTGTAGGGTATAAAAAATAAAAAACAAAGAAACAATGACAGAAAAACGGATGTTACAGACAAATGAAGAAATGTGAAACCCACGGCATTGAAGTGGAAAGTTGACTTTTTTCAATGATATTGATTTACACAAATGGCAAAAATGTGGGTTAGTAGGGTTCTGTCGAAGAAACACCTTTTGGACATTTCACGAAATTTTATTCAAGGGACTTATTAAAATGCATACAATTTAAATTGAGTTAATTAAAGAGTAAAGTAATTGACTGACTGACTTCACGACTCATCAACGCCCAGACGAATGGGCTGAAGTCGGAATCTTGACATTTTGGGTGAGGGTCGCACTTGGTCCAAAGGGGTTGGGTTTTTGGAAATTCGAACTAGAACGATAGGAAAAGTATTTAAATGTACTAAATATAGTACACTTTGTATTGGGAAAGCCGTAGAGCTAGAAGTCTTAAATTTGGAATGAGGGTCACTGATGGGAGTGTGATATAAGTTTGTTTTTGGAATCTCGCATTCTTGGTGCAACAAAAGTACTAAAATGTACTACATTTGGTACTATTACGTATCAAGTGAACGGTTAGAGCTAAAACCTTGAAATTTGAAATCGGAATCAAGGTACAGTCGATGTAAGGACGTAGTGTTGGATGAGTGTTCTCATGTATACGAAAAGTACTAAACAGTACTAAATTCAGTACAATTTGGATTTCGGTGAACCAATAGAGCTTGTAACCTGAAAATTAGAAATAGGATTACTCTCGGAATGTAGGATTGGGGTTTATTGGTAGTTTTGGAAATTTATACTTTATATATGTACTAAAATGTACTAAATTTGGTAGATTCTGGATTAGGGTGAACCGATAAGGATGGGTGTAGGAGAATGGCTGCTTGAGCCAGAGCAAAAAAAAAACACAATAAAATGTTCTTTAAAATTTATTGTCACTGGGGCAATTTTATTTAATCAAAATTATAATTAAATATAATTTGGTAATAGTTTTGCTCCTGATGGGACACTTAATTCTTATTAATATTATTAAACTTTAATTTATAAAATTTGCGACTTAGGTCGTTTTGTTTGTATTAGCAGCAAGGCAGAAAATTATGTTAGCGTTAGATCGATTTAATGCAGCACGGCAGAGAAAAGGAACAATACTAAAAATAGATTTGTAATCGTCAACATAACGAGCCAGCATTGATCATATTTACTGTCTCTGCTGACGCTATTGCTTTGTTTACATTTCCACTCATTAGGGTAAATAGAGAAATTAACAACAACAACAAAGCATAACGTAACGGAGGCAGCAAAGATCATTGTCCGGCTTATGTTGAGACAAATATTGACCTTGAATCGAAGAATGCGATTAAAAGAGGAATTGCCAAAAATTGCAATTAGAAAAGAAATAGGGATGCCGGTTGAAAAATTTACAATGTAATTAGGGATGTCAGTTCAGACAAATAGGGATTGTAAATTATAATAAAAATAATAAGTTAATTATAATAAATGAAATAATAAGACTTAGAATAAAAATAATAAAATACTTTTGCTCCAACATTCCCCCGCACAAAGAACAACTGTTCTTGACCATGATGAATGATGAGGTGTTTTATTTGGTTTTAGAGATTACCATGCTATGCCTCTGCTCACAGCAACTCTTATGTTGGCCTTGTGGGGGATTGAAATAGTCTTGAAGAGGAAGTAGTGCGACTTTGGAGACAGGACGTTTGTAGATTTTTCCATTCGACTTTAATGAGACAACTCTTACTTTTCCATCAGTACCAGGATGAACATCGATAATTCGGGCAAGCGGCCACTGGCCTGGAGGCAATCTTTCATCGAAAATAATGACAAGATCATCGACTTCAAGATTCTTTTGAGGTTTGAGCCATTTAGGGCGAGACTGCAAACGGTTTACATATTCTGAGGACCAGCGTTTCCAGAATTGTTGTTTAAGGAGTTGGACAACTTTCCACCGGGAAAGTCTATCAATGGAGAAATTTAACAGATTTTCTTCTGGGACACATAAAATCGGTTCTCCAACGAGAAAATGAGATGGAGTTAGAGCTTCGAAATCTGAAGGGTCAGGCGAAATAGGACATAGCGGTCTTGAATTGAGACATCCTTCAATTTGAGCCAACAGAGTTGCTAATTCTTCGTAAGTAAGAATGCGATGCTCCATGATGCGTTTTAAATGATGTTTTGTGGATTTGACGCCAGCTTCCCAAAGTCCTCCAAAATTTGGGGAAGCCGGTGGAATAAAGTGCCAATTTGTGCCATTGTCAGCTAGTAGGTTTGCCAAATCTTCCGGTAGAGATTCTGTATTTCTTCTTTGTAGAATCTTAAGTTCCTTATTAGAGCCAATGAAATTCGTGCCACAATCGGAGTAAAGGTCTGAACACATCCCTCGTCGTGAGGTGAACCTTCTGAAGGCAGCAATGAAAGCATCAGTAGAAAGACTTGTTACGGCTTCAAGGTGAAGAGCTTTCGTGACCATACATATGAAGAGACAGATGTATCCTTTTGTCGTGACAGAATTCCTGGCCGTTGATTGCTTAATGGTTATTGGGCCAGCGTAATCCACACCACTATGTTTAAAAGGTCTTGTGGGTTGCAATCGCACAGACGGAAGATTGCCCATGATTTGCTGCAGGGATTTGGCCTTGTACTTAAAGCACGTAATACATTGGCGTTGGACCTTTTTAGCAAGATTTCGGGCAGATAATATCCAAAACCTTCTAGTGACATAGGCTTGCATCTGGATGAGACCTCCATGAAGTGTCTTCTTATGAGCATCTGTAAATATTAAGAGAGATAAAGGACTGTGTTTGGACAATAACATAGGATATTTAAAGTCATAGTGAAACTTAGCTTTTTGCAATCTGCCTCCAACACGTAGTACGCCATCGTCGTCAATAAAGGGACACAATTGGGCAATTTTGCTTCTTGGATAAATGCTTCCTCCTTTCTTTAATATTTGTAGTTCCTCGGGGAAATCGACGTCTTGAGACAAAATAACAAGTTTTTGTAGCGCCTTATTCAATTCCGTCGCTCGAAGAAAGCCTTTATGTCGGATTTTAGAACCAGGTTTGTATTGAAGAAATCTCAAAATATAAGCCATGACTCGAGTTAACTTAGTAAGAGAAGAGTAATCAGTTAATAAATCCGGATATTTTGACACAGTAGAAGAATGAACGTTAAGTGATTTCCGCTTTTCCAGATTAGTGTCATAAGAGTTGTCTGGTTGTTTTGGCCAGAGATTCTGAGGATGAGAGAGCCAAAGAGGACCAGACCACCAAAGAGGATGTTGAACTAACTCAGTAGACGTAATACCACGGGAAGCACAGTCAGCAGGGTTGTCATGAGTTGAAATATATCGCCATTGAGATATGTTAGAATGTCGTTGGACTTCACCGACTCGATTTCCAACGAAAACGTTCCATCTGGACGACTCTCCTCTGAGCCAGCACAAAACGGTAATACTATCAGTCCAGTAATAAACATTAGTAATGTTGAGATCCAGCATATCGTGTACTTTATGCATGAGTTTTGTTAAAAGCGTTGCTCCACATAGTTCTAACTTCGGGATAGACAAAACCTTTAGGGGGGCAACTTTTGTTTTTGATTGTAGTAAGTTTACTACACCTTCTCCATTATCATTCAAAATTTTGATATAAACCGCGGCTGCGAAAGCAGAAGTAGATGCATCGCAAAATCCGTGCAGCTCGACTGGACATTCTTTAAAACTGCCTAACCAGCGTGGAATGGCAATATTTTCGATGCCTTTTAATCGTTTTAAGTAAGAGTGCCAATTAGATTTCATTGTATCAGAAACATCATCTTTCCAATCGATGCCTTCGAGCCATAACTTTTGGAAATAAATTTTCGCTTGTATCGTGACAGGTGCTAGCCATCCCAAAGGGTCATATAATTTGGCGGCATCAGAGAGAAGACTAGCTTTTGTGACGTCAGGTTTTATGGGAAAATTAACCTCAAATGAAAACGTATCTTTGTCAGTATTCCAACATAAGCCCAAGGCCTTTACCAAGTTTGGTCCATTTAAATCAAAAACATTTGACTTTTCACGGAAGTCTTCTGGTATGTGGGACATAAGCTCTGGAGAGTTAGAAGTCCACTTACGTAAATTGAATCCTCCAGCAGAGAGTAGTTGGACCAACTGTTTTTGCAAAAATATTGCTTCGGACTCAGAGTCAGCTCCAGAAATAATATCGTCGACATAAGTATCAGATTTTAAAATCTTACAAGCTTCAGGGAAAGTTTCTCTTTCATCTTGAGCCAATTGATGAAGAACTCTTATCGAGAGATACGGAGCCGAGGAAGTACCATAGGTGACGGTTTGTAGTTTATATACGTAAATATTAGAATCGGAATTTCGCCACAAAATTTGCTGGTAATGTTGATGGTTTTCTATGACTCTTATCTGACGGAACATTTTTTCTAAATCTGACCTGAAACCAATTTTGAATCGACGCCAGCGATTGATGATTGCCGGCAAGTCATTTTGTAAAGCAGGTCCGGGGAACAGTTCCTCATTTAAAGAAGGAGAAAGAGGGATTTTGCTGCTACCATCAAAAACCACACGTAATTTTGTCGTGGAACTTGATTCCCGAATAACGCCATGATGGGGCAGAAAATATCCGTAAGGATGAATGGATTGAGGATAGGGACCAATATTGACCATATGTCCTAGCGATTCATATTCATCCATAAAATTCCTATATTCTGAGGCAAATTTGGGGTTTTTAACGAATTTACTCTCCACTTGTTTTAAACGTTTTAAAGCGCTGAAGTCACTGTGACTAAATACAGGGGAAGATTTGCCAAGTATTTGAGAAATGAATGGTAATGCGACGGTATATCTTCCATCAGAGCCACGAGAACAAGTTTTCTTAAAGAACTCCTCACATGCTTTTTCTTCGTGGGTAATTTTTCTTGTTTCTATGAGCTCTTCTTGTTCCCAAAATGCCTTAAGTTGGGTGTCTATGGAACATAAATTAACATTGACGGAATGCGCATAAGAGATTTCAGCGGTAGGGCCAGAAACAATCCATCCAAAATGGGTAAGTTGAAGAAAAATGCCTTTTTCGAATTTCTTTTGTTGCGGTAGTAGTATGTCTCCGTATAAATCACCACCAATAAGTAAATCTATGGGATCATTTTTATCAAATTCAGGGTCAGCTAGAGAAAATTCTGCTAACGACGGCAATTTATGTCTGTCCACAGGACCAGCACAATAATTATTTAGGGAAGGCATGACATATGCTTGACCTCTTAATTCAAAGCCTGATTCGTAGTGAGAGGCAAGAGCAAATTTAACATATTTTTTAACCATTACTGTTTTTCCACCTACACCTGTGATCTGAGCTAAAGTGTTGTATTTTTGAAGCCGCAAAAGTTGGGAAGCACTTTCCGTTATCAAAGATGCTTGGGCTCCTTGATCCAAAATGGCCCTTAATTTGAAGTTTCCAAATTCGCTTTTCACTAATACACGAATGGTTGCTAACAGAACATGAGGCATGACTGTGGTATTCAATAGAGACAAGTTGACATTAGAATTCTCAACGGCGGAAGTAGAAGCTGCATTATCGTTCCTGCTATGAGAAACATCGGAGAAACTTGAGATATTGCGAGAGGTATAATCGTTGTGTACAATCGTATGATGAGCGAGGTGGCAGGATTTACAACGACTTGTACTTTTACAGTCTCTCGAGAAATGACCAACATTTAAACAATTTCGACATACTTTCTTGGAGATGATAAATTCAAGCTTCGAGGCAGAGGGCATCGCAAGAAATTTGAAACACTTATAAAGAAAATGGCGCTTACCACAACAGGGGCAATTTTCATCGTTTATAATCGCCATATTTATTCGACGATGTTGAGTCATTCTTTGGGATTGATACGATTTCGAGTTGTTTGATTTAAAATGTGGCTTAGGAATGCACTCAGTAAACTCAGAGATCGATTCTAATGTGCGAAATGTAGTTTCGAGAAAGTTGTATAAGATGGTAATTTTGGGAATTTCTGTGGCAGCTTTTAATGATTGTTCCCATTCTTTGCATGTTTGCAGGTCTAATTTACTGACAGTAATGTGAATCAGGAGCGGATCCCAATTGGAACAATCAACACCTAAACTGCTTAGAAGAGCCAAGCTATTTCTCGTAGAATCAAGAAGATTTTTTATGCTTTCACATGAACCATTGGATTTCGGGATACTAAGTAGTTTGCGTAACACAGTGTCAGCTATTTTTCGTTTGTTGTGGTATCTTTTACTCAATGCAGTCCATGCAAGATCATAGCTTGTCTCAGAGGCAGGATATTCGTGGACGATAGTTAATGGGGTATCTCGACAAGAATTTTTCAAAAAATAATATTTTTGAACATTGGACAAGCTTTGGTTGTTGTGAACCAGCGAAATAAACATGTCTCTATATGACACCCAATTTAAATAGTCACCAGAAAAAATTGGAATGTCGATTTTCGGAAGACGAATGTCTGGGATAATGGAATCGTTTCTTTGAGAGGAACTTGAGGCATGAAAAGTAGAATGAAAATTTGGAGAATTTGGAGCTCGATATTCGGCCATAAAATCAAGCAACTTTCCTTTACCACTGAGATAAATTTTGAAAAATGAGTAATGCACATCTTCATGAAAATATGGGACATCATCAGTGTTGATTGATCGGTCACGCACCGCATCAAAAATCTGCTCATGGTTGGCCTCAAAAGTTTTCTTAATTTCTTCTATCTCGTCGAGACAACTTTGACACAAACCTCGCGTTTTTTCACCAACAGACAATTGATCGAAGTCAGAAATTATGCGTTGGACACGGCTCATTAAAATCCTTTGGTCTTCAATTGCTCTCGAGTAATCCTCCATTTTGAATTTGATTAAAATTTGAGGCAGCAAAATGTGTCAAAATGGCGCAAATGTTCATAAATTTATATAAAATGTCTATTCAATTTCTCACCAGTATGAGACAGGACCAAAATATAACAAAACTTGTTTGAGCTATTGTTGCAGTACGAAGTCTTCACTTTGTTTTTTCCAAAAAAAAAAAAATATCTTTTTCAGCACATGTATAAGTATTGAAGTTCAGCACAGTGGTAAGTATAGATGTTCAGCACAGTGGTAAGTATAGAAGTTCAGCACAGTGGTAAGTATAGAAGTTCAACAAAGGAGTAAGTATTGAAGTTCACAGTATTATTCTTTTAAATTTGTCCAATTAATTTTCTCAGGGTGTAGGTTTGTTTAGATTTAGAATTTTCCCAGAATAGCGGCAGACATATATTTTGATAAAATGTTCACAGTTATTTAAAAGATTTTTATCGCAGTTTAATTGTTTCGGAAGTTCACTTTTACTATTCTTTAAAAGTTATTAATCTTTCTCATATTATTTATTATTTTATTTCACAAATTTTAGACCGAGTAAAGTAATTTTCTTTTGGTTTAATTAAAGTTCACGAACACTGTTCTTAAGTTTTAGAGTCAGGAATTTTCACTTGTCCCGGGTTTCGGCACCATAAAAATGTAGGAGAATGGCTGCTTGAGCCAGAGCAAAAAAAAAACACAATAAAATGTTCTTTAAAATTTATTGTCACTGGGGCAATTTTATTTAATCAAAATTATAATTAAATATAATTTGGTAATAGTTTTGCTCCTGATGGGACACTTAATTCTTATTAATATTATTAAACTTTAATTTATAAAATTTGCGACTTAGGTCGTTTTGTTTGTATTAGCAGCAAGGCAGAAAATTATGTTAGCGTTAGATCGATTTAATGCAGCACGGCAGAGAAAAGGAACAATACTAAAAATAGATTTGTAATCGTCAACATAACGAGCCAGCATTGATCATATTTACTGTCTCTGCTGACGCTATTGCTTTGTTTACATTTCCACTCATTAGGGTAAATAGAAAAATTAACAACAACAACAAAGCATAACGTAACGGAGGCAGCAAAGATCATTGTCCGGCTTATGTTGAGACAAATATTGACCTTGAATCGAAGAATGCGATTAAAAGAGGAATTGCCAAAAATTGCAATTAGAAAAGAAATAGGGATGCCGGTTGAAAAATTTACAATGTAATTAGGGATGTCAGTTCAGACAAATAGGGATTGTAAATTATAATAAAAATAATAAGTTAATTATAATAAATGAAATAATAAGACTTAGAATAAAAATAATAAAATACTTTTGCTCCAACAATGGGATACTGAACTTTGGAATTAAGATTACTGTTGGAGTATAGAATTATGGTTTGTGGAAAGTTTTGGAAATTCGTACTTATCTTCACTATATAGTTCTAAATTTGGTACAATTACTACTTAGACAAACTGAATCCTGAAATTTAGAATCGGGGTTACTGTGGAAGTGGAGGATTGTGGTATGTAGGAAGCTTTGGAACTTCGTACTTAGCTGTACAAAATAGTACTAAATTTGTAACAATTAGGATTGGGGTTAACCGATGGGGCTGGAAATATGATGTCTATTAGATTGAAATATGTTATTTGTACTAAATGGTACTAAAATTTGTACAAATTGAAATAGTGGCGAATCGATTGAGCTGGAATTCTGAAATTTAGAAAAAACATTTCTATGGGATTGTATGATTGAGGTATGGGTGTACTTTTGGAAATCTGGAGTGTAGGACTGAGGAATTTAGGTAGTTTTGAAAATTTGTACTTATCTATACTAAATTTGGTAAAATTCAAATTTTGTGCGAACCGGTAGAGTTGGAATCCTGAATTTTGAAAATAATATTTCTACTAGACTGTGGGATGTAGGTATGAAAATTTGTATTTAAGTATACTAAATGGTACTAAATTTGGTTCAATTTGGATTTGGGTGAACCGAATAGAGCTGGTATCTTGAAAATTGAAAATAAGATTGCCGTTGGATTGTAGGATTGGGATATGTAAGTAATTTCGGAAATTTGTACTTATATATCCTAAAATGTACTAAATAAAGTACAATTCGAACTTTAAGGTTACGAAAAGTTCAAAAATGTTACTAAACTTCTAAAATGGTACCATTGGTACAACGCTTGATACTATTTGGCTTTGGTTGAACATAGTGCTTGAAATCTGAAATTTGATATTGCGGTTTGTGTATTGTAAGAAATGTACTAAATGATACCAAATTTGGTATTGGGTGAAGGAATAGAGCTGCAATCCTTAAATTAGAGATGGGTGTCACTGCTGGCGTCCTATATTTGTACGAAAATTACTAAATGGTACCAAATTTTGTATTGGGTGAAAAGAAATCCTCAAATTTAATATTGCGGTCTGTATTTGGTATTGAGTTAATCTGGAGCTGGACTCCAGAAATTTGATATTCAGTTGTTGAAATATGAAGTGATTTTGGAAAAATGTACTATAGGTGTATTAAATTAGGCAACGGAGGATGTTTCAGAGCTGATATCTTTAATTATCTGAAATTAAGCTCAATGTTAGTATCTGGGGTTAAGATATGGAGATTATTTTGAAAATTCGTATTGTAATTGTTCGAAAAGTACTAAATTTGGTATTGTGGTAAGGGATAGCGTTGGAACCCTCAAATTGGATATTACGGTCTCTGACGGTATCTAGAATTGAGATGAGAATGTGTACTATAATTGTCCGAAAAATACTGAATGGTGATATATTTGGTATTGAGTGAATCTATGGAGTTGGAATCCAGAAATTTGATATTGAGGTATCTCTCTTGGTATCTGGTGTTGAAATATGGAAGTGGTTATGTTACAGTACGTTTATATATATAAGGGTTAACCCACTGGAATTGGATTTAAGTTGTCATATCCATTACTTTTTCTTCAAATAAATCCTCTCAAAGTAGGTTAACCCTACAAAAAGTTCTAACGTAAACATGGCATTAAATTAGGTAATTGTGCTGGAGGCAACAGAGCTGAAATTTGATTTAAGGTCGATGTTGATATCTGAGGTTTAGATATGGAGACTATTGTAAAAATGCGTACTGAAGTTGTTCGAAAAGTACTAAATTTGGCACTGGTTAAAGGGATAGGGTTGGGATCCTCAAATTGGATATTGAGGTCACTGTTGGCATCTGGGATTGAAATATGGAATTGGTTTTTGAAAGTACGAAATGGTACTAATTGGTACAAAATTGAGTTGTGGGTGAAGGAATAGAGCTGTAATCCCGGAATTTTATATTGAGGTCTCTGTTGGTATCTGGGATTGATATATGGAAGTGGTTGTCGAAATGTGTGTAATCGTATGAAAAAATACTAAATTGTACTTGATTTGGTATTGTGAGAAGAATAGAGATATAGATGTCACTATTGGGGTCTGTTGTTGAGAGGGATTGAGATATAGAGGTGGTTTTGGAAATGTGTACTAAAATTATACGAAAAGTACTAAATGTGACTAAAGTTGGTATTGTGTGAAGGGATAGGTCTAGATACCCGAAAATTTATATTGAGGTCTCTCTTGGCATCTGGTGTTGAGATGTGGGTGTAGTTTTGGAACTGTGTACTGTAACTGTTTGAAAAGTACTACATGGTACTAATTGTACATCACTTTTCTGTTGCTAGGACGGAGAGATGTAGATTATTTTTTTGGATATGCGTACAAAATGTTAATTGTAATTTAGTTGAAGTTCTGAAATTTGATATTGAGATCACTGTTGGTTTCTAGAGTTTACATATGGAGACGTTGAAATAGTTGTTGACAGAAAAGTTGGATATGGGTCCAATGAGCAATTTTTTACTATATTTGACTATATATTTTTACTATATTTTTTACTAAATTTTGAGGACTTTTTGGTGTAAAAGGTAAATATTATCCAATTATTCTCTTCAAAAAAGGAAAGGAAAGTCTGAAAATTTAGAACGATGTATAAAATTTTGATTAAAAATTTTTGTAAAACTGAACTGAAGGAACTCTTGAAAAAAATCTAAAATTTTAAGTTTGACTTTTCGCTGACGAAGTAGCGGGACCTTGCTTGTCTTCTATAAGATACGATAAAGTTCCGGCAAGAACATATTTCCTTTTTATGAAATCGATTTAGATGTAGCTAGAGCTTTTATATTTATTCAATATAGGCTAGTCTATATGACATGAATTTTCAATGTTTTAGACTCACTATCCAAACAAATTAATTGTAATTTGGGTCATCAGGGTCTAAGAGGTCTGTAGAAAATGTGCATGTTTTCCTAACCATACATTCCAATTTGGGTGCCAAAATTTATTAAAAATTGATAGCAAGGTCGTATTTTGGATTTTTTTTTTTTTTTTTCAAAATAATTTGAAATCTAACACTTTCAGTGAAATCATTTTTGTTCACATTCCGTTTACAGATTTTCGAACTCCGACCGAGTGAAAAAGTTTTAATTCCTCCATATAAACGTTCTGTTTACATCGTACTCCATAAAATAAATTTTTCCTCCCATCCTCTCCCAGGAAAAATAATTCATGAATAATATTTATGCTAACTTGATTTGTTTCAAAAATACAAATATGTGTATCAGTTGTTCTCCCTCTCTCTCTGTCTCTGTCTGTCTTCATTTCCAATGGCACTGGCTGTGCTAGTGGGATCTCTTGCTGTGACGAACATGATGGCCAAGTTAACATTCAATATTTGTTTTGTTGTTATCAACCATCATGACTTGTTTATAACACAACAGGTATCAAGCGAGCACCCAGTCGGTTGGTCATGACATGAAAAGTGTTGAATGTAACTATTTTCCTTTGCTACGCAGTTATGGTATAAATTTAGGAAGTCACATCAAGTACACATTTACATACACATATCGAATTTCCTTACATCATCTACACAATAACGCACATATGACAATTGTTTACATCAACATCAATGCATGTAATTTGGATAAACCGGAAGTGAAAGGTCAAAGGTTTTGATAATAATAATTTCGGAAACGTGTTGTTGTATATTAAATTTATTCTTGTTTGGGTTAAAAAATCTTAACAGAATGTTATAGAAATACCTTAGTTTAAGATTAAATGTAACATAAAAGATAGATTGACGATGAAAAGAAATGAGAATTATGCCAAAGTTCTCTTTGGGCACAACTTGTCTAAGAATGCATATATAACAAGTTAAAAAGTATCAGTCGGTTTTGTCGACATACAGGGTGAGGTAAAAAACTGCAACGAAGTCAAACGCCATAATTTTTTATATATATAGTTTTTTTTAAATTTTATTGAATGAAAGCAAAATGTCGAAAATAGCATGAAATTTTAGAATTAGTTTAGATTTATTCGAATTGGTCACCTTTGGCACGTATTATGGCCTTCCAACGGCAATAAAATCGTCACACGCTGCCCGAATGTTGCTCTGCGGTATTTTTGCCCATTCCCGGCGACTTTGGTATTTTTTAATGCTAACCTTGCTTTCCAAAATACTCCAGACACAGTAGTCCAAAGGATTGGCATCCGGAGATTTTGGTGGCCATTGGGCGCTGGAAATAAACCGAGGAACTTCATATTATAACCACTATTGGCGCGTTCTGAGTGCGATGGTGCTGAGTCCTGTTGGAATGTCGAAAGTCTGCGGCCAAAATATTTGCGTGTCCAAGGCTTTAATACACCCTTCAGAATATTTTCGCGATAATATTCGGCATTTATTCTGGTGCCACGCTGGATTAACACGAGCGGAGAACGACCATAGGCTGTTATGGCGACCCACACCATCACCATGGCCGGCGCTTGAGTTCTGATGGCCAACCGAAGGTGTACATTTTCAGTTGTTGCTCTTTGGCAAGTAAAGACGATTATTTTGTTTGTTTACAAACTGCTGGACAACGAATGTTTTCTCATCGGAGAAAACCAAATTCGACAGTTAACCACTTTCGGCCAAGCGATGCAACTCTTTAGCTTTTTTGAGTCTATTTTCTTTCTGTTGCGGTGTAAGATCTTGCACTTATTTTTCAATATTTGCCGAATGAAGTATTGCTCACGAGACATTTTTCGGCCACTGCGACGAGGGTTTCGATCAAGTCGCTTCTTTGCTTTTCGAACCATTTCTGCTGATTTTGATGTTTTTATTTGTCCACTTCCTTGACGTCGGGCTACGTTACCAGCATCACGGTAACAAGTGATGGTACGAGACGCAAAAGATTTATTCCATTTGTGGTTTTCCAGTCACAAAACATCACACTTGAATTCCAGAAATTTTAACAGCTGTTGGACGACGACTGGCTTAGAAATGACAGCAGTCTGAAGTTGGTTGCAGTTTTTTCATCTCACCCTGTATAGGCCCCATAGAACGATATTCGATATTTTGTTAATTTTTGCCACATTTTTTCACGGATGTTTTTAAAAAATTGTATTTGTACTTCATAATGGGTTTAAGCTCATGTGGCGGAACATCTATATCTATAAATGAGGAAAATGTTTGTATGTTTGTTTGTTTGTTTGTAATTTATGGACTAGAAAACCGCTGAATAGATTTTCCTGAAAATTTCCATATATACTGCAACATCGCCTGAAAGTAACATAGGCTATATACATTTCTGAATTTCCACTTGGAACTGGAGATGTAGCATCAGAATCGGAGGTACCTCCCAAAAATTTAGATTTTATATGCACATATCTATTGATTGGTTGAAGATACAGTCTCCAAATTTGGAACAAAAATAAGTTTGCCAAATTATATTGTAATCGGTTCAGATTTGGATATAGCTCCCATATATATTTTCGGCCGATTTCAAGCATTTGATGCACCAAACACGCTATGTATCCCCAATTTCAATGAAATTTGAAACGTGTGATAGATTTTATCTAAAAAATTGATTTCCCAAATTATATTGAAATCGGTTCAGATTTGGATATAGCTCCCATATACATTTTCGGCCGATTTCATGTATTTGGTGGACCAAACACGACATGTATTTGCAATTGTAATGAAATTTAAAATAAGTAACGGAATTGGGAGCCAAAATGAATTTGTCAAATTAAATTGAAATCGGTTCAGATTTGGATATAGCTCCCATATATATTTTCGACCGATTTCATGTATTTGATGCACCAAACACGCTATGTATCTCTAATTTCAATGAAATTTGGAATGTGTAGCGGAAATTAAAACAAATATACATTTGTCAAATTATATTAAAATCGGTTCAGATTTGGATATAGCTCTCATATATATTTTCGACCGATTTCATCTATTTTATGCACCATACACGATATGTATGTTCGATTCCAAAGAAATTTGGAATATGTAACGGGATTTTGATTAGAAAATAAATGAGTCAAATTATATTAAAATCGGTTCAGATTTGGATATAGCTCCCATATATATTTTCCGCTGATTTCACATATTTGATGCACAAAACACGATACGTATATCCGATTCCAATGAAATTCGCATGAGTGGCTAAATTTGGTACACAAATAAATTTGACAGATTATATTCAAATATGCTCAGATTTGATTATAGCTCCCATATATATACTCAGCCGATTTCACATATTTGATGCACCCAAAGCGAGAGAGACGAAATCTGGCACCAGCAAAAATTGCCATATTATATTGAAATCAGTTGAGGTTTGGATATAGCTAACATATATATTTCGGCCGATTTCATACATGTTATGCACCAAACATGATATATATGACCGATACCAATGAAATTCAGAATGTGTGGCGGAATTTGGTTACAATAATAAATGTGACAAATTAATTGGAAATTAGTTAAGATTTGGATATAGCTCCCATATATATTATCGGCCGATTTCACATATTTGACGCACCAATTTCAATGAAATATGAAAGGTGTGGCGGAGTTTGGTGTAAAAGTAATTTTTTTTTTAAATTATATTTAAATCGGATCAGATTGGGATATGATTTTAATAAGAACCATTGACCCACAACGCATTAGGCTAACACTAAAAAACAACACAACAATTGATTTGAAATACGCTTATTACGGCGAAGTATGTTGCTATCTCGAATTCACTAATTGCAATAGAAATTCCACTCAACTTCAAAAGATTGCAGTTTACTGCACGCTTGGTATTTGCTCCCTTGACAGGGAGTTCTTTATATAGGTCCATGATATCGTATATCCCCCATATAACGGCACCCCCCGATATTCGGTATTTTAATTATTTTAGCCACATTTTTAAACGGAATTGTCTTACATTCTATACAAGGAGTTATTTGTGAGTACTTTATCCCTAGACATAGATTTGTCTATATAGGTCTACAATATCGTATATCCCCCCATATAACCGCACCTTCCGAGATTTTAACAGAATTTTTAATGGATTTTATTTTTATTTTTTGAAAATGTCCTAATTCGTTCCAAATGGTGGAGGGTATTCAAAGTTCGACTCGGCCGAACTTATTGCATTTTTATACCCTCCACCATACCATGGAGGGTATATTAATTTTGTCATTCCGTTTGTAACTCCTCGAAATACTCATGTCAGACCCAACAAAATACATATATTCTTGATCAGCGTAAAATTCTAAGACGTTTTAGCCATGTCCGTCTGTCTGTCTGTTGTAATCACGCTATCTTTCGAACAAACTGAGATAGAAGGCTAAATTTTTGCATATTTTGCTAGTAGGCAGGTTAAGTTCGTAAATGGGCCATGTAGGTCCAAGTTATCATATAGCCCCCATCATATAACGGTACCTCCTGATATTCGGTATTTTGATGATTTTAGCGACATTATTTACCGGGATTGTTTCAAATTTCGCATGTGAAGTTCGTAATGGATACTTCAACCCATGCCAGAAAATTGTCTGTGCAGGTTCACGTCTTCGTATAGCCCCCATATAACGGTACCCCCTATATTCGGTATTTTGATGATTTTAGCTAAACAGATTTTTCTTCAAGTTTTTCATTTAAATATTGTGATAAATTATGACAAAAGTTGCCTATGCAGGTCCATGTCGTCGTATATGTATTCGGTATTTTTACTATTTTAACAGAATTTTTAACGAATCGTATTATTTTATTTTTTTTTGGAAATTGCCAAATTTGTACCAAATGGTGGATAGTATTAAAAGTTCAGCCCGGCCGAACTTACAGCTTTTTTACTTATTACTTGTTCTATTTCATCCTATTGATATGGAGGCTAAATTAAATTCCTAATATTTTAATTTTTTTAAATATTTCACCATTATACATGAATTATCCATGACATATGATGAGAGTTTTTCTGCCTACTTAGGTCTATTTTCGATTTCGAGAGATTCTTCCGATAATCCTTAAGAAATTCTTTGGAACCTATTCAAAATCTCTTCACTTTGATATACCTGTAGATGCTGACTAAATTATGATGTTGTCTACTAAAGGAGGAATGTGTCTACCATCCTCATATGTCAATGACGAACAGTGTGGCACAATTTTTTCCATGGAATTTTTTTTCGAAGGGAGATAATATTTTAGTCTTACGAATTAATCCTGGAGTACACTTACTGCGTGTTGTTGTATAGGTTTCATCGATGATTTTCTGCATTTTGATTAAAGTGTTATCGATTGGCACGTAATCGGATATCTCACGAAAGTGGGTGATGGTGAAATTCTCACTTTCTGCCAATTCCTGGAAAATAAATGAGGAAAATAATTGAATTATACGACGGTCATAGATAAACAGAGGAAATGAAGCATGGGAATAAACAAGAGTATATTGATTATGGCCATGAAAAGAAAAGGGTCAGTAAAATTATGATGATGCTGATGGGAGCCAGATAATGGCTTAGTTACGAATTAATAAAGCATTACAACCCACATGATTCACTGGAGGATATTTTGGGAAGTCTAATAAATTAATTGGCAACTGTTGCCTATCCTTTTTTGTTGCTATAGATATAGATTATTGTACTTGGGAAAATTTAATGGAAATATTTTGCGTACAATAGGTTATTCCCATTATTGGAGACTGAACGAAAAATATTCTCTATTCAGCCTGAGGTCCTGAATGAGAGATTTTCTATATAAAATCCCTCGATTCAGCCATGGGGGACTGAATGAGAAATTTTCTATAGAAAATCTCTGCATTCAGCCATGGGGGCCTGAATGAGAAATTTTCTATAGAAAATCTCTGCATTCAGCCATGGGGGCCTGAATGAGAAATTTTCTATAGAAAATCCCTCGATTCAGCCATAGGGGCCTGAATGAGAAATTTTCTATAGAAAATCCCTCGATTCAGCCATAGGGGCCTGAATGAGAAATTTTCTATAGAAAATCCCTCGATTCAGCCTTGTCTGTAGAAAATCCCTCGATTCAGCCTGGGCGGCTGAATGAGAAATTTTCTATAGAAAATTCCTTGATTTAGCCTTGGGAGCCTGAACGAGAAATTTTCTATAGAAAATTCCTCGATTTAGCCTTGGGAGCCTGAACGAGATATTTTCGATAGAAAATTCCTCGATTCAGCCTTGGGAGCCTGAACGAGAAATTTTCTATAGAAAATTCCTCGATTTAGCCTTGGGAGCCTGAACGAGAAATTTTCGATAGAAAATTCCTCGATTTAGCCTTGGGAGCCTGAACGAGAAATTTTCTATAGAAAATTCCTCGATTTAGCCTTGGGAGCCTGAACGAGATATTTTCGATAGAAAATTCCTCGATTCAGCCTTGGGGGCCCGAATGAAAACTTTTCTATAGAAAATCCCTCGATTCAGCCTTGGGGGCGTGAATGAGAACTTGTCTGTAGAAAATCCCTCGATTCAGCCTGGGCGGCTAAATGAGAAATTTTCTATACTTCTTAAATCACTTAATTCTGAATAAAAAAAAATTCTTTGAAAATCACTTTATTCCTCTATGCCGAAGAATTCTCTGTTCTGTTCCCCAAGAGGTTTACATTTGTAAAGCTTTATTTGATTTTTGGGAAATTATTACTTCCATGTTCACTTAGACACACCTGAACTGCATGTCAGCTATGTTAATATCCGGAACGACTTGGAGATGCTTTGGATGTCTTCCACGAAAAAGTTATTAATTTTCCCCCAAAGGAACATTTTCATGCTCTGGTGCATTGCTCAAAATATTATCCATTCTTTGGAGGGGGCGACTTAATTTTGTCCTCTCTCCATGCTTCGCAGAATTTACACTGCAAGCCTAAGGGAGACCCGTATTTATATGTTCATCTATTCCAGGAATTTTATTTTGCTGTCCTCATGTTTTAATTTTTCTGTGAAGCTTGGCATGTTTTAATTGCTCTTAAAAATTTGAATATTTTGAATTTAAAACAAAAAAGTGAGATGACACATCTCTTAATGGTATACAACCAGGCCGGTGTCATGACAACAGAGTTACTCACCTGTATGGCCGTTGCTACACCACCACCCCAGACGGGCTTTGAACTGACCACGATTGCAAATTTTTGCCAATGAAATGCACTCAGCAGACTAATAACGCTTTTGGAGACCTGTGAAAGGAAAAAATAAGAAAATAAAAGCAAACATTAAAGGTGACCCAAATAAGAGGTGTCTGTGTGTGTAAGTTTGATTATGTGCATAAATACATAAAAGGTGGAGCAAAACCAGGGGAATCGACTAAGTAATTCTGAGCATCATCATATTAATGTCTCTAGAGACTTGAAATATAGGAATTATTAAAAAAAATCCATTTCCCTTAGCAGCTAGGTATTCAATTTAATAGCTGAGTGTTAAACTTTAAAAAAGGCAGCAAATATTTTATTTCCTTTAAATACTTTTTTTGGAAGGAAGATTTAATCTGTGACAGTTCGAAATCTTAAATTACACATCTTAACAATTTAATCAAAAAAAAAAAAAAAAACAACAAAAAAAAAAAAACTACCGAAAATACTCATTAGAAATCCGATCAGCAATCCAATGTATTAATTTTAATTTTGATAAGAAGTTTTTATTTAAATGACTTTTAGTAGCCAATAATGAACGTGCCGTCTTTGTAATGATTATTTTTTTGTTGGCTGGGAAGACAGACAGAGGAAATAAACGATGAGAGAATAAAAGTTAAAAAAATAAACATAATTTTCAAATTTTTGTCTATAAATATAAAATAGTAGTGAAATAACTGACTGACTATTCGAAAATCAGCGCCCGGACAAAACGGCTGAAGCTAGAATCTTGATATTTCGCACGCGGGTCAATCTTGGTACGTAGGCATGTGATAAGGCTGGATTTTTGGAAATTCATACTAATGGGTACGAAAATCACTAAGATTCGAGCTAGAATTGAAATGACAGTGATTAGTTGAGTATAGAAGAGATTCACCAAAGGGTTTTTGGAAATTCGAACTTTAAGGCTACGAAAAGTTATAAAATGGTACTAAACTTATTCTGAAGTTTGGTATGAGAATCAAGATTAGAAAATAAGTTTGACATATGAAGGTGGTTTTGCAAATTTTTGGTACATTCGATATTGAGTGATCATGGTATGGTATTGAGATCTGAAATTTTGTATTAGGATCGCTGTTCATGTGTAGTCTAGACATATGGAGGTGGTTTCGGAAATATGGTTTTGGGTGAAGGGATGGGGATAAAATTCTGAAATTTGTTATTTAGATTATTGATGGTATCTGTGTTTGATGGTATGCGTCCTATATTTGTACGAAAAGTACTAAATGGTACTAAATTTGGTATTAAGTGTTCTGTTGGTATCTGGTGTTGAGATATGGAGGTGATTTTGAAATGTGTACTACGAGTGTACGAAAATTTAATATTGGGCGTAGGAATAGAACAGAAATACCGAAATTTGATATCTAGTCAACTGTTGAAACACTGAAAGTGTGTATTATAATTGTACGAAAAGTACTGAGTGGTACAAAATTTTATCTTAGTTGAAGGGATTATGAAATTTGATCTTTAGATTATTGTTGGTATCTGTATTTAAAATTTTGCGGTGGTTTGAAAATGCGTCCTATATTTGTACGAAAATACTGAATTGTACTAAATTTGTTATTGGGTGAAGTCTCAGGACTGGAATCCTCAAATTTGATGTTAAAGTCTCTGTTGGCATCTGGAATTAAGATATGGAGTAGGTTTTGGAAATGTGTTATATAATTGTACAAAAGGTACAACATCGTACAAAATATGGTATTGAGTGAAGGAATAGAGCTGAAATCCTGAAATTGTATGTTTGGACAACTGTTGGGTTAATGGAAGTGTAATTTATAATTTTACGAAAAGTACTAAATGGTACTAAATTTGATCTTGTTTGAAGGGATAGAGATAAAATTCTGAAATATGATATTTCGATTACTAATGGTATCTGTGCTTGAAATTTGGCGGTGTTATGGAAATGAGTCCTATTTGTACTAAAAGTATTAAATGACAATAAATTTGGTATTGGGTGGGGGATAGGGCTGGAATCCTCAAATTTGATATTGAGATCTCTGCTGGTATGTGGAATTGAGATATGGCGGTGGTTTTGGGAATGTGTACTATAATTGTGTGAAAAGTACTAAACTGTACTAAATTTGGTATTGGTCCAAAGAATAGAGATAAAATCCTGAATGATACTGAGACAACTGTTTGAACACAAGAAGTGTGTATTATAATTGTATGAAAAGTACTAAATAGTACTAAATTTGGTCTTGTTTGAAGGGATAGAGATAAAATTCAGAAATTTGACATTTAGGTTACTAATGGTATTTGTGATAAGATTTGGCGGCGATGCTTTGGACTAAATGATACTTAATTTGGTATTGTGTGAAGGAATAGGGCTAGAATGCCCAAATTTGATATTCAGGTCTAAACAGATAGAGATAAAATTCTGAAGTTTAATAATTAGATTTCTGATGGTATCTTTGGTTGAGATCTGGTGGTGGGTTTGAATATGTGTACTATAATTGTACTAAATGGTACAAACTTTGGTAATGGGGGAAATTAAAGAAATCCTGAAATTTAATATTGATGTATCTGTTACTATCTGGAATTGAGATATGGCGGTGGTTTGGGAAATGTGTACTATAATTGTATGGAAAGGACTAAATGGTACTAAATTTGTTATTGGGCGAATAAATAGATCTGAAATCCTCAAAATTTGATGTTTAGACAACAGTTGGAACACTGGAAGTTTGTGTTATAATAGTACTAAATGGTAAAAAACTTGGTCTTAGATAACTGTTGGTATCTGGAGGTGGATGTGGAAATGCATCCTATATTTGTACGAAAAATTAAGTGCTACTAAATTTGTAATAAATTAATGGCATAAGACTGGAATTCTCAAATTTGATTTTCAGGTCTGAAGGGATAGAGAAAAAATACAAAAATTTGATATTTAGATAACTGATGGTATCTGAGGTTGCGATGGGTGGGTGGGTTCGGCAATTTGTCCTATATTTGTACGAAAATACTAAGTGGTATTAAATTTGGCATTGGATGAAGGAATATGGCTGGAATGTTCATTTTGAGTACTAAAAGGACCTAACATGAATCTAAAATTTTAAGGTGGACTTTTCGTTAACGAAGTAGCGGCCACTTCTCAGTATTAAGTGGCTTCTGGAAAAAATTCTTTATTCTGAAAAATAGTTTTTATTGCTTTTTTTTACACTAATGGATAGTAACAATATTTCAAAAATGAAAGAGTCGCCACAAAGTTTTTTCCTTTTTTCAGAAGACTTCAGATGCACCTCAAGCTAATTATACACCTAGTATTATTGCAATAGTGCGGCTGACTAAAATAACTGGTTTAGACTCTATATACATATAAAACGGATCGAAAATATACCACCTAGAAATATTTGTATAAGACTTAGGGTAGCAGGATACATAGACGAATTTGATACTCTGTATAAGAATTGCGTCACAAAAATACCTCCGAAAAACTCGATCGAAAACGAGTAAAGGGTTAAGTAGAAAAAACAGAAGGAGAAAAAAATTTTTTGGTGAAGGGAGTAAAGTGTATAGTTATGACAACAATTTATTCACACACCAGCTGTAAAAATAGAACAACGGAGAGTGGTAAAAACGTATGCCGCATGGAAATGAAGTACGAAATTCGACAAATCAATGAAACATCAATAAAATAATTAGAACAAATACCGGGGCTATTGCCTTCAATATTTCTCATTAAAAAAAAAATAAAAAAACAAGTAAAAAAGCAGTAAGTTCGGCCGGGCCGAACTTTGAATACCCTCCACCATTTGGAACAAATTAGATAATTTTCAAAAAAATAAAATCCATTAATTTTTTTTTAAATCTTTACAATATCTAATATAGGAAGGTGCCGATATATGGGGGTATATATGATATTGTGGACCTATTAAGACAAATCTATGTCTGGGTGTAAAGTACTCACAAGGAAATCCTTGTGTGGATTTTCAGATAATTCCATTGGAAAAAGTGGCTAAAATCATCAAAATACCGAATATCGGGGGTACCGTTATATGGGTGCTATACGATATCATTAACCTATATAAAGAATTCTCTGTGGGGGTGTAAAGTGCTCACAAATAACCCCTTGTGTACAATTTCCGTTGAAAAATGTGGCTAAAATCATCAAAATACCGAATATCGAGGGTACCGTTATACGGGGGCTATACGATATCGTGGACCTATATAGATAATTCTCTGCTGAGATATTAAGTACCCACAAGGAACTCCTTGTGTGGATTTTGAGACAATTCCGTTGAAAAATGTGGCTAAAATCGTCGAAATACCAAATACCGGGGGTACCGTTATATGGGAGATATACGATATTGTGGACCTATATAGATAATTCTCTGCCAAGGTATAAAGTACCCACAAGGAATTACTTGTGTGGATTTTCAGACAATTCCATTGAAAAATGTGGCTAACATCATCAAAATACCGAATATCGGGGGTACCGTTATATAGGGGCTATACGATATCGTGGACCGATATACCCCATCTTCGAACTTGACCTGCCTGCAGACAAAAGAGAGATCTTTGCAAAATGTTAGCCTCCTATCTTAATTCGTTTAGACTGTAGCGTGATTACAACAGACGGACAGACGGACGGACAGGGCTAAATCTTCTTAGAATTTTACGCTGATCAAGAATATATATACTTTGTTGGGTCTAAAATGATTATTTCGATGAGTTACAAACGGAATGACGAACTTAATATACCCTCCATACTTTTTTTGGTGGAGGGTATAAAAACATTTAGTTCGGCCGGATCGAAATTTTAATACCTTCCACCATTATGTAAAGAAAACCTTTTTGTATAAAAGTATCTGGATTCATTACAATTACCAGTAAAATCGTAGAAGTAACATCGTTTGAATAATACAGTTAAACATTTCAAAACCCAGAAAAGAAAGTTTAAAAGTCGGACGGGCCGACTCTATAATACCCTACAACCCTTTCCATATTTAATACAGCTTCATATAACAAATTAAAAATATAACAAATCGGATGAACAATATATATATGAGAGCTATATCTATATCTAAATCGATTATCTTCAAATTTGACAT